ATATATATACCTTCCACTGGAGATGTGCCTGCAACCAAGGTACATGCCCTTGACCGGAATTGAACCTGGGACCTTTCAGTCCACAGGCCAACTCTCTATCCACTGAGCCAAACCGGTTACGGCAGTAGTCCTATTTTTAAAAAATATATATATTTAGCACTAGCTGGTTTGACTCAGTGGATAGAGCATCAGCCTGTGAACTGAAGGTCCTGAGTTTGATTCCAGTCAGGAGCACATACCCAGGTTGCAGGCTTGATCTCCAGTAGGGGTGTGCAGGAGGCAGCCGGTCAATGATTATCTCTCATCACTGATGTTTCTATCTCTCTCTCCCTCGCCCTTCCTGTCAGAAATCAATACAAATTAAAAATAAATAAATAAACAATATATCTTTATTTATTTCAGAGAGGAAGGAATAGGTAAAGAGAGATAGAAACATCAATGATAAGAGAGAATCATTGATCAATCGGGAATTGAGCCTGCAAACCGGCATGTGCCTCGATCCAGAATCAAACAGTGTCCTCCTGGTTCATAGGTCAACGCTCAACCACTGAGCCACCGCAGCCAGGCAAAGTAATCCTATTTTTAATTTATTGAGGAGTTTCCATATTGTTTTCCATAATAGATGCACCAGTTTCTAATCAGGAGGGGAAATCTTATAAAGGTTTCATCATAATAAAAGTTGTTTCATTCCTAAATGTGGGCTAGTTTCAGGGAGTTATGGATACTAGCAAACTCTATGTCCCTGTTCTCTGGAACTTTACCCCAGAACTTGAAACAGGCAACCTCCTGCACTGAGCCAGGGACTGAAAACCTGAGTGTGCCACAGACCCACCAGTGACCTTGAGCAGACCACTTCCTTCTGGACCTCAGCATCCTGGTCTCTGGAACCAGCAGTGGCCTGGATCATCATTCAGGTGGCTCTCAGTCTGGCCACTGTGGCTTATCTATCGAGGTTGTTTTTGGGAGGCAGCATGGAGTTGTTAATAGTCCCCACAGTCCTCAGTACTGTATGTAGAAAGAGGGGCAGAGTGTGGATATTTGTTAATTTGAATATAGCAATATGTTCAACTTTAGGCCATGAGGACTCAGACTTATCAAGGTGTTTCTCCTGAAATAAGGAACGCAGCTCTCAGCGGGTCACAGAGGGCCAGTTTCTTTGTTGACAATATGACAAGACAGCCAAACACACTGAACTTGAAATTTCACAAGAAACGTTTTTAAAAAAATATTTTTAAAATTGATTTTAGAGGGAGGAAGGGAGAGGGACCGAGATAGAAACATTGATGAGATGATCAACTGCCTTCTGCATGCTCCCTACTGGGGATCAAGTCAGCAACTTGGGCATATACCATGACTAGAATCAAACGTCGACCTCCTGGTTTATGTTACTCAACCACTGAGCCACACCAGCCAGACACAAGAAACTTCTTTTAAAAAAATATGCTTTTATTGATTTTAACAGAGAGAGGAAGGGCTGGGCCATGCTGGCCAGGCCACAAGAAAATTCCTGATGGGAGGGCAGGTATTCCAATTCCCCCTGGACCCCTGGATTGAATGGACGGTAACTGGAAATTGTATTCAGCTTGCAGTGCTGAGCTGCCCAGAACTCAATGGAACCACTTACTTCATAGAGAAGAAGAGCCAGATCACAAAATAGGGATTTTAAAAGTGAATGCAAAAGATCTAAAAACATAACTTAATCAACTTTACCCACTTTACACTTTCAGAGGAGAGCACAGCTTTTGATGAGTAGGAATTGTTTTTAAGTTTTTGTGGCAGCTTTTAAAGAACAAATCTCTGTTCTGCCGGCGTGGGGTATATATATATATATATATATATATACACACACACACACATATATATATATTAAAAGCGTAATATGCTAATTAGACCGGACGACCTTCCAGATGAAGCGGGGGCTGTGAGGGAAGCCTGGGTCCTGGGTACCAGAGGGAAGCCGGTGCTGACAGCCGGGGGAAGGAAGGCCTACTGTTGCATTAATTTCGTGCATCGGGCCTCTAGTATATATATACAAGACTCAGAATGTGTCTGAGCAATCCAGCCAATATTGAGGCTATTTTCAAAAGAAGCAGATTGAGATAGAAGGAAATTATACTGGACAGTAATACACTTCCTCAAATTTTGAAAATGTGTGGATCGCAGAACTATCCTGAATTTTTGTTCTGTCAAAATTGAGTCTACACAATTCTGCAAGTGAACTTTTTCTTCATGAAATTGCTAAATGAAAGCTACTAGCCATCTTTAGAAGTATAAATTGAATTAAAATAAGATTTACATTTCATGAAGTATTACTATAACCATGCTTTTGAATGAGTAAAATTGATGAGATATATTTTATTATTGTATTATTTTTTAAAATATATTTTATTGATTTTTTACAGAGAGGAAGGGAGAAGGATAGAGAGTTATAAACATTGATAGAAACATCGATCAGCTGCCTCCTGCACACTCCCTACTGGGGATGTGCTCGCAACCAAGGTATATGCCCTTGACCGAATCGAACCTGGGACCCCTAAGTCTGCAGGCCAACACTCTATCCACCGAGCCAAACCAGTTAGGGCTATTGTATTATATTTTAAAACAAGAAAAAGCTATAATACACAGTTGTTAATAAACTTCATGTGGAAATTCCTGATTTTACTATAACTTTGCTTTTTGTTAATCCTCACCCTAGGATTTTTTTCCATTGATTTTTAGTGAGAGGGAAAGGAAGAAGGGAGAGAGACTGAGAGAGAGAAACATCGATGTGAGAGAGACACATCAATTGGTTGCCTCCTGCACGTACTCTGAACTGGGACGGTCGATTGAGCCTGTGACCAAGGTACATGCCCTAGACAGGAATCAAACTTGAGACTCTTCAGTCCATGGGCTGATGCTCTATCCACCAAGCTAAACTGGCTAAGGCTTACTTTGCTATTTTTAATGGCATCTTCATCTTATTTATATTGAATATTTAATTGTTTTCTGATCATATAAACTATACAGGCTTATTTTTAGGTTAGAAATATATAACAGAATAAAATAACTATTTATCCCAATGAACTTTACTAAGGAACAGAATTTACTTAACAAATGTGTCCTGAACCCGTATTAAATTTCAGCCACTAGCCTAAGTGGTGGCATGACAAAGGTGAAGAACAGCTACACCCCTGCCCTCTCGCACTGAACTGAGTCTGGCGCAGAGTGTGGACAAGGTCACAGGCAAATGCAGGAGATGATAGCGCTGTCAGAGGGAAATACGGGGCGGTGATGTCAAGAACTTCTTGGAAAAACAAGCATCTTCACTGAGACCAGAAGAATGGGTAGCAATCACACAGGTACACCTGGGAGGGGGAGAAGTGGAAGATTGTCCCAGGCAGAGGGAACAGCAACCACAAGGCAGGAGAGGTAAGAGGTAGCCAGCAACTAGTTGTGGTGGAGAAACTGAAAGAAATTTGAGGTTCCTGGCTGGGTAGCTCAGCAGGTTAGATTTTTGGGTACATACAAGAGTCAACCAATGAATGCAAAAATAAGTGGAACAACAAACCTCTCCCCGCCCCCCTGTTCCTCTCAAATAAAAAAATAAAAATAAAAAACAAACAAAATTGGGGCTGGAGCAGGAAGTGAGGTGGAGAAGGAAGGATTCAAGACACAGCGGAAGAGTTTGCAGGACCCACATGCTGAACGGTCTAGGACAGCGGTTCTCAACCTGTGGGTCGCCAACCTGTGGGTTGCGACCCCTTTGGGAGTCGAACGACCCTTTCACAGGGGTCGCCTAAGACCATCGAAAAACACATATATAATTACATATTGTTTTTGTGATTAATCACTATGCTTTAATTATGTTCAATTTGTAACAATGAAAATACATCCTGCGTATCAGATATTTACATGACAATTCATAACAGTAGCAAAATTACAGTTATGAAGTAGCAACGAAAATAATGTTATGGTTGGAGGTCACCACAACATGAGGAACTATATATATTAAAAGGTCGGGGCATGCCGAAACCGGTTTGGCTCAGTGGATGGAGCGTCGGCCTGCGGACTGAAGGGTCCCGGGTTCGATTCCGGTCAAGGGCATGTGCCTGGGTTGCGGGCGCATCCCCAGTGGGAGATGTGCGGGAGGCAGCTAATCGATGTTTCTCTCTCATCGATGTTTCTGACTATCTCTCTCCCTTCCTCTCTGTAAAAAATCAATGAAATATATTTAAAAAAAAAAAAGGTCGGGGCATTAGGAAGGTTAAGAACCACTGGTCTAGGAAGCCTCAGTATGCTTTGGGGTCTTGCCCTGAGGCCAACAGAATGCCTTTGACTTGAGTGTTCAAAGCAAAGTGGTTGTTTGATCACTTTTGCTCTCTGAAGATCACTTTGAATGTTCCATCCAGAATCATTTGTAGCAGCTGTTAACGTAAGAAACATTCAAACCTGCAGAGAATTTTTGTGAGCTTATTTGAACCAAACTGTGGACAGTTGCCAGAAGCAGAATCTCAACACATGGAGACAGTGCTCCGGAAAATGGTTGTTCACCATTTTTATAAACCACCATCAGCGGTGACATAGGCGGGTTCCATGAAATCCACTGTTGATTGATTAGGGAGGCAGGAGAAAGTAAAGCGGGGAAACCTCTGGGATTGTATAAAAAGTAAGATGAGTCCAACATCAACCTAAGAACCAGGTCAGTGTATATGCCCGGCGGCGGGCTCCATCCCGTGTGGGGCGTGCAGGAGGCAGCGAACAATGACTCTCTCGTCATTGATGTTTTTCTCTCTCTTTCTCCCTTCCTCTCTGAAATCAATTTTTTTAAAGAAGGATTAAGAGGGTGAAAGATAGCGGTAGGATCCAGTTCTAGTCGAGCAGAGTCGGTAGCACTGGGCACCCAGCTTCTGACACCTCCGCCTCGCCGCCCAGCTGAACGCAGGAGCCAATCCGGGAGGTGAGACCCAACCGGGCACCGCCCCCGAAGCCTGCGCAAGTGCAGTGGGGCCCGCGCGCCTCGGAAATGGTCGCGGTGGATGGGGAGCTGGAGAGACGCCGGAGCCGAGGGGCGGTAAGCAGGACCCCGCGCCGGGTGGGCAGTGCGGGGGACCGCGGGCTTCGACACCGGCTCTTCCCGGTCGCCCCGGCGAGGCTTCCTCTCGCCGCTCGGCCACGGCGTCGGCCTGATGCCTGCGCGCCCCCAACCTCCCTGCTGTCTCACCTGGGTCCCCGCGGCGCTGCGACCCGGTCTCGCCCGCCTTCGGGGGCAGGGCCCGCACTGCGGGGCCGCGCCGGAGAGGCGCTGCCCGCCGGGAGCGTCTCCTTTCTTCTCTCCGAACCCTACGTCCTTGCGGGGCCGGGCGCCCACCGCGGGGGCGGGACTCCGTGTCCGCCTGCGCGCTGCGAGTTCTGCCTTCCCTCCGCGGGCGCTTTGTTTTGGTCGCTGTCGTCACGCGTCCGAGCCTTCCCTCTCCTGCCGAACTGTGAGTCTCGAGGAGGCGCGGAACCCGGCCCCTCCTTTTCCCGAGTGCCATTCGGGGTTCCGTCGGTGCCTTGCGTTGTACCCACCCGCCAGCACTTGCTGATGGCGTCTTCCCATGATTCCTGTGAGAAGTGTGAAGGACCCTCGGGTTTTCCGTTGGTTGACCTTTTTCTAGAATTAGATCAAGCTTAACATCAGCGCACCACCAGGAGCGAGGAGACGTCACGAATAGCTAACATTTGTTGAGTTCGAGTGGTGTGTTTTGCTGAGCAGTTTAATATTGTGTAAGTTGGTTCATAAGTTCAGTGAGGCAGGCATAATTATTCCCATGTTACCTTGCCTAAGGTCGTGTAGCTAGTTGGAGCTTTCTGACCAGATCTGTTGTCTCCATTCCCCATTACTGAGATATTAGTATTCCTTTTTACATTTAAGGAAACAGGTTTAGAGAAGCTAAGTGATTTGTCCAATAATAAAATAATAGCTTCGTTGGTTAGAGCGTCCTGCCAAGGTTGCAGGCTCGATCCTCAGGGCGTATACAAGAATCAACCAATGAATTCGAAGGTGGAACAACAATTCGATGTTTCTCTATCTCTCCCTCCCTCTCTCTAAAGTCAGTGAATTTAAAAAAAAGGTAATAAATTAAGTTTGCTTAAACATTAAGAGACCCCCTAGTAGGTATGTGCTGGCCCTGCAGATAGAACTGAACAGGGCAAGGGGCAGGCTCTCTAAGAGCTTCCAACATAGTGGAGGAAACTGACAAAGTATTTAGTGAGATGTTTTGGGTGTTGTGTATATAGATGTGATGTCTGCGGGAAGGAGGGAATCAAAAGGAGAAGTAAGACAGATATAGGAGGAAAATGGAGCTAAACTCATTGGCTTTGAATTCCTTTTCCATCAATCCCTAACTTTGTGACATTAGGTAAGTTACTTAACCTAATCGGCCCATTTCTTCATCAGTGAAGTAGGATAATAATGGTACCTACCTCAGTAGGGTTCCTGTATTCACTTTTATTTACTTATTAATATTTTTTATTTCAGAGAGGAAAGGAGAGGGGGAGAGAGAGAAACATCAGTGATGAGAGAATCATTGATCAGCTGCCTCCTGCACGCCCCACACTGGGGATGGAGCCTGAAACCCCGGCATGTGCCCTGACCAGGAATCAACCTTGAACTCCTGATTGATAGGTCGGTTTTCAACCACTGAGCCACGCCTGCCCGGCTATTAATGCATTTTTATATAAATAAGACGCTTTGAATAGTGCTTGACACTTACATTCTAGGCATAGCGAAGTCACTGAAACAAAAACTTGAACCCAGGTCTTACAGCTGGTCCAGTGCTCCACTACACACGTTGCTGCCTCCTTGCATTCCCTGCCTTGGGAAAATGTGGCGGTCAGATAGTCACTCTGTCCCATGACTCCCTGGGGTAGAAACAAGCAGGGCACAGGAGAGAAAGAAAGGAGGGGGGCAGTGAAAGGGGGATTCGGGGAGCTTGCAAGGTTTCAGGTCACTCTAGATACCTGGTGGCCTGCTTCCTGGCTTTACCCCAGTCGCAGCAGCAGTGTGCTAGAACATCTGTGCTCAGTACTGTGCTGGCCGCAGTGTTGGGGACACAGGTGGGTGTGAAATGGCTTCTCAGAAGCAGCTAATACTGCCCAGTTGGGTCAGTGAGAATAGAACACAAACAATCATGTTGACCATGAGCAGCATAAAAATAGGGTTGAGATTTTCTGGTGTCAGCCCAGCAAACCCATGTTTACCCCAGACTGTGGAAGGTGACTAGATTCTTCTCGGGGGAGGGGCAAGGGCTGTAGATTGAAAAGGGGTTTCTCTGGTAAGCAGTTAGGTGTAGTAGGTTCCTGTCCTGGTGGGCATGCAGGATTTCATGTATTTTGTATTCTCTCTCTTCCCACCGCCTCTCAGTATGTAGTAGAGGCCTTTTTCATAGGTGCTGCCGGTCTCAGGGAGGCCAGAGGGAGCAGTGCCTACCCCCAGGGTCCACATGGTGGGGGCATTGAGAATCATTGAGAATTCTCCAGGTGAGGTGACACTTGGGACAGAGTCAAGGCCTCTAGCATCCTCTCATCCCCCAGAACTTTTGCTTACAGTGTCATCTTCTGCTGTTCTGTTTTCTTTTAATGGGGAAACTTCTTTTGCTCTTCAAACTCTGTTCTGGAACTGCCCACCTGAGAATGGAGTGCAGAGTTAAGGGGCAGATTTCTAGGCTTAACCCCAGCTTCCTGAATCCAAACCCATAAGTGGGGAGCAGGAGAACTCTGCATTTGTATGCTTTATTAAAAGTTACTGTTTGTTTGTTTTAATATATTTTTATTGATTTGAGAGAGGATGGGAGAGGGAGAGAGAGAAACATCAATGATGATCGGCTGCCTCCTGCATGCCTCACGCCTCACACTGGGAATAGAGCCTCAACCCGGGCATGTGCTCTTACCAGGAATCAACCTCGACCTCCTGATTCATAGGTTGAGGCTCAACCACTGAGCCACACCAGCCAGGCAAGAACCTTTCATTTTTTATTAGCTTTCTTCAACAAATATTTAATATATACTTAAGCATGCTGAATACACATTAGGTATGATATCAACTAGACAGATTTGGCTTCTTTTGTTCAAGTGAAATCTGCATTTTATATATTTATTTATGTTTAGTACTCAGGCAAGAGATTTATTAAAAAGCTCATGAGCAAGAGGGAGTTATCCCCTTTCCAAGGAAAAGGAAGAATGGGCTTCTCTCTCTTTTTTTTTTCCTCTTTACATTTTTGTTTAGAGGATGTTAGGGGAGAGTCTGAGGAAACCACCGGGTAGGTTAGGGAAAGGCAGATTGTATGGCATTTTGAGAGTCTGGCAGGGGCGTTGTGATGCGATGCAGTAAGAATTAAGGAGCTTTGGGTTCATTTGCAGGCTGTGAGGTTAGAAGGAGCATGGTCTTTGGAGTTAGCCCAGCCTGACCTTGTCAGACCCAGTGTGTGGCCTTGAGCAAACCAGTTAATCTCTCTGAGCCTCAGGTCTTTATCTGTAAATAAAGTTAGCCTGGCGGCATGGCTCCTTGATTGAGCATTGACCTATGAACCAGGAGATCACGGTTTGATTCCAGGTCAGGGCACATGTCCAGGTTGCGGGCTCGATCCCCAGTGCAGGAGGCAGCTAATCAATAATTCTGGTCATTGATGTTTCTCTCTCCCTCTCCCTCTCTGAAATCAATAAAAAAATATTTTTTAAAAATTGTGCTTACCTCATAGTGTGATGAAATTAAATTAACCGACATAATGGAAATGAAGCGCTTAGTATGGTGTTTGGCATATAGTACTTGCGAAATTAAAAACAAGGTTTTGGTACCCCATTTTGAAGCTGCTGGTATTCAGGAGTAGGAGGGTTGTTACGTGGCTGAAGTCACACAGCTAATAGATGCTGGTCCCTGGAGTCTGGATTTGCACGGGTTCTTCTCCAAAGCCATCTCTGAACCTGAGCTTTGTTCAGCTTCCCACAGGAGTCATTCCCAGGAGGGTTGCTCTGAAGCTATGTGAGAACATGTTAAAGTTCTTAGCTCCGTGCCTGGCACGTGCTAATAAACTAGGTTAGTGTGTGTTCTCCTTTCCCGAGAACACAGAAAGCTTCGGGATTTTGAAGAGCTCTTCCATCCTTGTTGAAAAGGCACAGGCTTTCTCCCAGGCGGCTGGAAAGACTCTGCTGCAGGTTCTAGGAAGGCTGCCTACCAGGCTCACCCCCAGCCGCACGGGTGTACTCCTGCAGCTGTGGATCTTTTCCTCCTCCAGGGTGAAGGCCATGCCGCCCCCTGGGAAAGTTCCCCGAAAGGAGAACCTGGGGCTGCAGTGTGAGTGGGGGTCCTGCTCCTTTGTGTGCTCAGCCATGGAGGAGTTCTGCGAGCATGTCACTCAGCACCTGCAGAAGCACCTGCACAGCTCGGGGGAGGAGGAGGAGGAAGAGGAGGAGGACTTGCTGGGTAAGCAGGACGTGGGAAGGGAAGGAGCCGGAGGGAAGGTGGGGCATCTGACTTTCCTTCCCGCAGACGGAGAAGGCAGCCCAGGGAAGTGGTGGTGTAATTTCCTAACTGTGCTTTTGTTGTTTATGAAAACATTGTAGAAGCATAGAAAACTCATTCAACAAGGATTTTCAACATGAATCTGCTATCTTCCCATCAAAAGGCAATTATTGACAGTACTTTTATGAACATTCTTTTTGACCTCTCGCTACATGTGATAACTGATATTTTTATATGTATTTCTAAACAACCAGACACATAAAAGTTCTTAATTCATTAATCCTCTCATGGGAATCCGCAGTCACCACAGAAAAAGTCACTGAAGAACCTTTACTCCTATTGTCCTGACTCCAGCCTGCTGTTTGCAGCACCAACACTGGCCTTTGTAGTTCCCTGGCTTTCGTCATTCTGTCCTTGCATTCCTTTCCCAATTCTTTTCTTAAGCTCTTCTTTTCATATAGGTCATGACTTGCTAGTCTGTTTGGGTTCATTTTTCTTTGAGTAATCCCAGGAACAAATCATGACATGCCCAGCTGGTGTGTCAGTGGTTGAGCGTCAACCTATGAACCAGGAGGTCACGGTTTGGTTCCCTGTCAGTGACATGCTCAGGTTGTGGGCTCAATCCCCAGTGTGGGGAGTGCAGGAGGCAGCCAATAGATGATTCTTTCATCATTGATGTTTCTATCTCTCCCTCTCCCTTCCTCTCTGAAATCAATAAAAATATTTTTTTAAGTTAAATAAAACATGACAAAGCTAGTTAGTTGTGGTACCACCACCAAAATGGATTCTGAATCTAAATGTAGAAATGACATCTGGTGTGGTCTTGTACATTTTGGCTAGTTTTTCCTGAATTTCTGTCTTAGGAACTGTTCACTTCCCAGGGAAAAGGATGTCAGCGACCCTTTGTTTTGTTAAAGTATTCTGTTAGTCATGAACTTCCTGATCTGCATAGTTACTGTGTTGTTCATGATAGCGGCTGATCTTTAAGCCTGGTTTTCCTGTTATTTATTTATTTACCTATCTTCTATATATATCCTATCTAATAAAAGAGAAACATGGTAATTAGCTGTATGTCCGCTACCCTTCCCATTGGCTAATCAGGGCGATATGCAAATTAACTGCCAGCCAAGATGGCGACCGGCAGCTTGAAGCTAACATGAGGCTTGCTTGCTTCAGTGACAGAGGAAACCAACGTTCTCCGTCTGCGTTGCCAGCCTCTGAGCTTGCAGTTTGAAACATTGTTACAAATATAGAAGCTAAACAGAACCCCAGAAACCTGCTTTTAGCCAGCCGGGATCTCAGAGCTGGAGTTGAAACAGTGTTTAGATTATAGAACCCAAAAACCAGATACCTGCTTTCAGCAGACCAGGCCTCAGAGCTGGAGCCTAGCCTCAGTTTGCCGCGAGGCCTCCCAGCACTGGGATCAGTGGATCAGTGAGGCCTACTGGCACCGGGATCAGCGTGACAGGAGGCAGCGACCAACCCCCCTGATCAGCCCTGCTCTGTGTGTGACAAGGTGCGGCGCCCCCCCCCCCCCCACACACACACACAGGCCCTGCTCTGTGTGTGACGGGGTAGAGCCATAACCTCCCCATCGGCCCTGCCCTGAGTGTGACAGTGGCGGCACCCCAACCCCCTGATCCGCCCTGCTCTGTGTGTGACAGGGGGCGGTGCCCCAACTCCCCTATCGGCCCTACTCTGTGAGTGACGGGGGAGCTCCTCAACCTCCTGATCAGCCCTGTTCTATGCGTGACAGGGGGGAGCTCCCCAATCCCCTGATCGAACCTCCTCTGTGCGTGGCAGGGGGGAGCTCCCCAACTCCCTGATTGACCCTGCTCTGTGCGTGACAGGCGGCAGCGCCCCGACCCTCTGATTAGCCCTGCTCTGTGCGTGACAGGGGTGGCACCGCAACCTCCCCATCGATCCTGCCTTGAGTGTGACAGGGGGCGGTGCCCCAACCCCCAAATCGGCCCTACCCTGAGCATGACTGAGGGTGGAGTCGCAACCTCCCGATCCACCCTGGGGAGCGGTGCTGATTTATGTCAGAATGAACACCAACTACGATCAAACCATCTTTTTAAAAATAGGTTTTTATTGATTTCAGAGAGGAAGGAAGGTAGAGGGAGATAGAAACATCATTGATGAGAGAGAATCATTGATTGGCTGCCCCCTGCACGCCCCACACTAGGGATTAAGCCCGCAACCCAGGCATGTCCTCTTGACCAGAGTCAAACCCAGGACCCTTCGGTCTGCAGGCTGACGCTCTATCCACTGAGCAACACCGGCCAGGGCTGACTTTCCTATTATATTGTACAAGCTGTTGGCATCCTGCTGTTTTCACTCCCTGGTAAGTGTTTTTCTCTCTCTTTTAATGTGACTACCAATTAAGAATACATTTTACATCACAACCCTATACACAAAAGTTAAAAACACCCCTAACCGGTGTGGCTCAGTGGATAGAGTGCCAGCCTGCGGACTCAAGGGTCCCAGGTTTGATTCTGGTCAAGGGCATGTACCTTGGTTGCGGGCACATCCCCACTAGGAAGTCTGCAGGAGGCAGCTGATCGATGTTTCCAACTCTCTATCCCTCTCCCTTCCTCTCTGTAAAAAATCAATAAAAATGTTTTTTTAAAAAAATGATAAAAAAATAGAAATAAAAATCATCATTCAAAAATCATTCTCCCCTTTAAAAAAAAAGTTAAAAAACATTTGGAAAAATGTTTAACTTTATTAAATGCTCTCTGAAGTGTTCTCTTATTCTATTTTTTTTTTTTTTTTAAGAAAAAAATGTGGCCTGGCTGGTGTGACTTGATTGGTTGAGCGTTGTCCTTCACTCCGAAAGGTTGCCAGTTCGATTTCCGGGCAGGTCACACACGTGGTTGTGGGTTTGATTCCTGGACGGAAGGCAACTGATTGGTGTTTCACATCAATGTCTTCTTCCTTCCCTCCCTCATTTCCTCCTCTCTCTCCAAGCGTGTCCTTGGGTGAGGATTACAAGAAAGAAAGAAAAAAATGTGGTTTGCAATCCCCTAAATTGATTTTGCCACCCACTAATAGGTCACAGCAGAGTTTGAAATTATAGAAAGTACAGAGATCGCTCCCTTCAAATTCTATTTGAAGTCTTGACTGAAAAATGTAACTAACTGTCAAAAGCCAAATGATATTTACACAAAAGAGAAATTAGGGGATTATTATATTTTCAAAAGTATCTACTTTTCAAAACAAGTAAACCCGTATAAACATTGAATGTTTGGCGGGCCTTCCTGGAGAAGACAGACCTTGAGCAGAACATGGGAGGAAGAAGGGTTTGTAGTTTGACACAGGGGCAGGGGCGTCCTGGTGGGGAAGCAGCATCTTCCACGGGGAGCAGTGGGCACTCAGCCAGGAACTGCCTGCACTCACCCCGCCGCTGAGCTCCTGGCGCTGGGACTTGCACACCCCCTCTGCCTTGATCACACCTCTCCACTCTTCTATAGACGCTCGCCCGTCAGATCCTAGCACAGGGGCACTCCAAGACACCCGTCTCCTTGGGTTTATTCTGTAGTGCCATGCCTCCACCTGCAGAGAACTTACGATTGGTCACAGTTTGTAATGATACATGTGATTATTTGATTCATGCTTTTCCACTCTGGCTGGAAGCTATGTAAGGCTGGGACTCTTTCCTTGTGACCTTCCCAGCACTTGGCAACAATGGTGGTCAGTGTTGCTGAGTGACTGGCAGTTCGGTGAGGGTGCAGCCTCCTCACCTGCTGCTAAGTGCCACAGGTGGAAGGAGAGCTGCGCGTCAGAAAGCATCATGTTCTCTCTAAACCCCTTTCTGCAGAGGAAGAATTCTCCTGCTTATGGCAGGAGTGTGGCTTTTGTTCTCTGGACAGTTCTGCTGACCTTGTCCGCCACGTCTACTTCCACTGCTACCACACGAAGCTGAAGCAGTGGGGGCTGCAGGCCCTGCAGAGCCAGGCCGACCTCAGCCCTTGCATCCTGGACTTCCACAGCCGCAACATCATCCCTGACATCCCTGACCACTTCCTGTGTCTGTGGGAGCATTGTGAGGTCAGCAGGCAGTTGCCAGAAATAGGGGTGGGAGAAAGTTGCAGGTTTGAACTCAAGAGTCCTCGATCCTTTCTTTGGACCCTTATATTCCTGAGGCTCCTGCTAGTACCTCCTTCATGTCTGGGTAGCTCCCTTGCTCAAACATTCCCATCCTCGCAGGGTTAATTTGGGGGGGAGCCAAGAGGTCCCCTTCGGACACATGGGGGTGAGAGTCCCTCCGCCCGCCCTCAGTTCTTACCCCAATTGCTCCCGGCACAGAGCGCCTTCGACAATCCTGAGTGGTTCTACCGGCACGTGGAAGCGCATAGCCTGTGCTGTGAATACAAAGCCGTGGGCAAGGACAACCATGTGGTGCTGTGTGGCTGGAAAGGTAGGGTCACTCCTTAGTTCTGGCCTCTGAAGAAACCCTGGGATTGCTGAAGGGCGAGAGCAGCTGGGATGGTCCTGCAGGGCACGGCTGGCTGCTTCTGGAGAGACTTGGGGGTCCAGAGCCTACGCCGCGGGTTTGTGCTGGAGCATGACTGGCCCTTCCTTCCCAGGCTGTACCTGTACCTTTAAGGACCACTGTAAGCTTCGCGAGCACCTCCGCAGCCACACCCAGGAGAAGGTGGCGGCCTGCCCCACCTGCGGCGGCATGTTTGCCAACAACACCAAGTTCTTAGACCACATCCGTCGCCAGACCTCACTGGACCGTAAGCAGTCAGAAGACGTGGGTGCAGGCTGTTTAGCCTGTGGGTTGGGAGCATATTTCCAGGGGTAGATGCAACTTGGCTGCATCTACCTGTAGGGCTCAGGCTCCGGCCCAGTCTCTGCGGACTTGGAGTTGTTAGACATTGTTACTCCGAGCTGACTGTGCCTGTTCGCCTCAGTGCATCTGCACAGCAGCCCGTGAGGAGGCTTCTTACCCCCCTTTTTGCAGATGAGGAAGCTAAGGCTCAGAGAGCTTAAAATCACTTACTTGAGACCACACAGCTAGTAAGGGTCCAAGCCGGGATTCGAACTCAGGTTCTCCATGCCAAGTCCCACGCTCCTTCCGTGATACTGTGTCTGTCCCAGTTCGCTAAACTCCCCTTGTCTCCTCGGGGTGGTTCCCTTTTGCCCAGGAGGCTCCCCTCTCTGGGACTCGTTCTCCCCCCATCTCCACCGTCTTCTGCAGCCACCTTTCTTTTCCTGCCCTGCCCCAGAGCAACGCTTCCAGTGCTCTCACTGCTCCAAGAGGTTTGCCACTGAGAGGCTGTTGCGGGACCACATGCGTAACCATGGTGAGTAATTGGGCACCACCGGCCTCCCTGCCCACCCCCCAAGGTTCCCCTGGCCCTCAGATCACAGCCTCCTCTGCTCCTCAGTGAACCACTACAAGTGCCCTCTGTGCGATATGACCTGTCCCCTGCCATCCTCCCTCCGCAACCACATGCGCTTTCGCCACAGCGAGGACCGGCCCTTTAAATGCGACTGCTGTGACTACAGGTAAGGGGAACTAGGGGCCGGAAATCACAGACCTGGTGTTCTAGAATCCTCACGCCCTCCCACCCTCCTGACCTCTCCTGGCAGCTGCAAGAATCTGATTGACCTCCGGAAGCACCTGGATACCCATAGCAAGGAGCCAGCCTACAGGTGTGATTTTGAGACCTGCACCTTCAGCGCCCGAGCCCTCTGCTCCGTCAAGTCCCATTACCGGAAAGTGCATGAAGTGAGTGGGGCTGGGGTGGGAAGGGTCAGCAGGGGGGGGCGGGGCTGGGGGCTGAAGAGCTGACCTCCCTCTCCCTACCCATCAGGGTTAGTCAGAGCCAAGGTACAAATGCCACGTGTGTGACAAATGCTTCACCAGGGGTAACAACCTCACCGTACATCTTCGCAAGAAGCACCAGTTCAAGTGGCCCTCGGGGCACCCCCGTTTTCGGTATGTCTCAACCTTCCCATAGATTCACACATTTTTTCCCATATTCAAATTAAAATTTTTAATTTGATAGT